TTTCACTGGCCACCTTTTTTTTAGAAGGGCTACCCCGATACGCGAGGAAGTGGAGAATGCTTTATGCATACCACAACAGCCGGTCTGTCGTGTTTATGCGGGTCTCACTGTGAATATCCTACGGGGACCCTAAGTGATACCCGCTAAACTCCACTTTGGGGACTGGCAATAGGCTGATTAAGCCTCTTTGCCGGATCGGAAGCGACCCTCTTTTGGGAGAAGAGGGCGCAGGCAGCTACGAGCCGCTGAGGGAGAGCCTACTAGGGCAAATTTAAGAAGAATCGGCCTGAGCTGCCAGGAGGCAGTTCAGGTCGGTTGAAATTTTATTTGGCGGGTCCGAGAGAGAGTTTCTCGGCCTGCGGACTCGATAGCGATAGGGGAATCGGGCTGCATAAGTAGCTGCCTCTCGAATAAAATGATTGGAATGAGACTCTGAGGCTTTGAAGAAGTTCTCAGAGAGTGTTTTTAGAAATTGTTGGATTGAAGGGAGCTCTAAGTCCCGAAGGAGGTCGGCATTACGGACAGAACAAGGTGCGTTCGTAGCTCGACGACAGAAGAGGTTTTGAACTACTTGGAGTTCATTACTGATATTAGGGTTGGCGTCGGCAAACACAGGGCCCGCGTAGGACATAACTGGTAGTATACATACCTTATAAAGGGTTCACTTGTTACGAAGGATATTTTACTATGTCGGCCCAACATACTCTTGAGCCTACTCAGATAGAATCGTACGTGACGGGTTACTCTTTTGATATGGGGCCCGAAAGTGAGCCTCGTGTCAAGGGTGACGCCTAAATATTTGGCAGACGTATGCCAGGGGACAGGGGACCCTAGCATACGCATTGGTGGAGTGTTTTTGAGGCGGCGTCGTTTATAATCGAAGTGAACGGCGGAGCTCTTCTCCGGGTTCACATCGATGTGCCATTTTTGGAACCAAGCTCATAGGTCATCAACTGACTTTTGGATCTTGTTCCGTATGAAAGGTAGCGTGGTACCTTTACAGTAGATGGCAGTGTCATCTGCGAAGAGGGAGAGCTGGACACCTTTCGACGGGATGGGAATGTCGTTGGTGAACAGGATGTAGAGGAGGAAAGCAAGTACTGAACCCTGAGGGACACCAGCTTTGATGGGGCGCTGAGAAGAGAGCGTGCCTTCGTGTCTAAAACGAAAGGTACGATGCTGCAGGTAAGACGCCACGAGACGTACTAGACGATCGGGGAGACCTATTTTATATAGTTTGTAGATAAGGCCTTCATGCCAGACTCTATCAAATGCTTTGGCAATGTCGAAAAAGACCGCGATGGTCTTATGACGACGAGGATAAAAACCGCTGAGGATATATTCCACAATACGGTGAACTTGTTGGGGACAAGAATGTTTCGCTCGGAAACCAAATTGATGGGGGATGATAAGAGGGTCACCTTCTGTGGGAAACAGATGGAGCCTCATGCAAGTTAGGATGACTCTTTCGAAGAGTTTGCCCATGGCCTTGAGAACGCTAATGGGACGATGACTGGAGGGGAGGTTGAAAGGCTTTCCTGGCTTGGGAATACCAATGACAGTTTCCTCTTTCCACGTAGTGTGAAAGTAACTAAGATTGAAGCAGGCGTTGAAGATAATAGTTAAAAGTGTTAACACTTGCTCAGGAAAGTGTTTAAGGGCTTGGTTGGTGATGCCATCTGCGCCATGAGCCTTTTTAGGCTTATGTCCTTTGATGAGGGATGAAATCTCATCATTGGACACCGTGATAGGGTCAGAGGTTGTAGGGGGTGAGTTCCGGCGGTGGACCTCATCCTGCACTGCCTGGACGTGTGAGGAGTCGACGGGTTGAGAGCTGGGAGAGCATTACGCGGCAATGCTATCTGCAAAGCACTCAGCCTTTTCGGCAACCGTACCGTCGGGACGGGAGAGAGGGGGGTGTGGGTGATAGCGTCTATGCGGAGGGCTCTTGCCATCTGATAATACGCTGTATGAGAGGGAGAGATATTCTCCATGAACTTACTCTTTTCGAGGTCTCGAAGTTCGGAGAGGCGGAAACGGAGTTCGCGTTGAAGACGATTGGCCATGCGCCTATATTCGGGGGTGGGATAGATTGCTGCTCTCCGGAAAGCAGCTTTCTTGGCTTTCAATAGATTGCTAATATGTAGGGGAAGCCTACTATTATTATTAGCAACCGGGACGACCCTTTCATTCTCCTAAAGAGAGGATTTAATAAGGGTGGAGAGTGAATCGACCGCGGTGTCGATTTTTTCGGGACTGTCTAAGTCTGACGATAGGGAGATAGGGGAGAGCCATTGACTAATCCTCCGCCGCCCTTGATGTTCGTTCTTAACATCACTCGTGGACCGATACCAAACTTTATGTGTGATACTAGGCCTCCTTCGTTATTTTGGTCCACTAGAATAGAAGCAGGTGGTATTAATCACGTACAATTTCCTTGTTAGTTTGGATAACATACTTAATATTGTCTGATTGAATGCGTTGACCAATTTTAAGTTGGGATATATACGAACAGCTTCCACATCAACAAAGTTTTTCTCTATAGGAACACTGTTCTATGCTCAGTTCTTCCACTGGTAAATTGTTGAGTAGATAGAAAGTTATACAAATATTTAGTCAATAACGCAGGCATTCTCTAAAAAGTCTAAAAAAAAAAAACAAAATTAAAAATATAGAATAACCCACAACGGATATAAAAGTTGTATTTGAAATAGGATTAAATAAAAAAATTAAAAACCCCTGACTAAGAGGAAGTAAGTCACGAAAGAAAAAATAAAAGCGTTTTAAAAACGGTTTGTTTCTTGCGAAGTCTGTCATATTACGAGAAACCAAATAATTATGACTTTCCTTAGTTCTTCCTACCTCAAAGGTACATACCTATATTTGATGTTATTGCTGTGTTTATTCCATATTTGATGTTTATTACATACCTATATTTGTAGGTATTGCGCTACGACAAACAAAAAGGTATACAAAGATAGGAAGAACTAAGGAGAGTCGTTATTAGTAGTATATTATGACAGACCTCGCGAGATATCAACCATTTATAAAACGCTTTTTATTTCTTTCGTGACTTAATTCCTCTTAGTCGCGGGCTTTTAACATTTTTATTTAATCCTTTTTCAAATACAACTTTTATATATTCGTCGTGGGTATTTCAACATTTTTAATATTGCCATTTAACATTATATAACATAAATTTTAACCAAAAATAAACGCGTCGTAACATTGACGAATTTTTGAGAATTTTTTATTACCTGTGAAATGTGCAATTATCAGGACTATTTTTATTATTATATTTACACCACTGTTACTCACAGAACAAGGTACCATTTTGGAAAACAAGTTACTAAAAATAACTACTATTACACTCTAAGAAATTACAAAATATATAAGAGCTATTTCTTGCGTGCCTACTTGTGTCGATCTGTCATTCAAAATCGGTTACAGAGTCACGAGATTTGGTATCCTTTTCTATCTTGCATTTTTGCCATGAGGAATTTTCTTCTCCCTTGCACACTATGTTGACCTATATGCCTGTATAGTCTTCAAAGTCTATGGAAGAACGGCAACAACCTTGTAAAAGGAAGAAAGTGAGAATAATGTAGCTATATTGTATTGCACCATGTTAAACGTCATAATATGTAGAAAGTGTTCAGCTTGCATTTTGTTTTTATTTTAGGACTCTTTATGCTAGTAATTACTCTGAGATCTACAATTACTATGAGCAAGTATCGGGAGGTTTGCTGCTTCTGTATCTATTATTGTATAAATAATGGTTTGAAGTGGATTTTGATATGTAAAAGTGGTGCGATTTTGTGTATTAAGTGTCTGCGCATGTGAACTATTACTGGAAACAGTGACACAAGTGCTCTGATGGTGATGTGATTCTGAAGATAACGTGTCTGTCTGCTAAGGCGTCTTGTGATACCATCGCCAACTGTCAGCTGTCTGCTGGCTCAAGTCGCCGTCAAAATCTCCCAAGGGTTGCACAATATGATGGTTCAACATATTGTGAAGCAGTGTACAATGAAGAATAATTATACATTGTAACTTGAGCCTCAGAAAATCCAGAACCCAGAGCCGTAAAGCCAGTTATAAAAAAAATTGAGGAAATGTCGAACTGTCAAATGTCAATTTTTAATCAAAAACTATTATTCAAGCATTATTATTATCTGTGTTTTAATAAGATACTGTCCCTGAACACGATAGGAGAGGTCGGTGGGTCAATAAAAATGTATATTTTGTAGAATTTAGGTGTTCGTCATGGTATTTGCTCTTTGCCTGTTAAAGTTCTAACTAACTATGGCTTTGTTTATATGCGTGTAAGTTAATTTTTATTTCTGTTGTTGAATGACAAACTTGAGTGATTTGTAGCAGTGTATTTATGTGTTTGTCATTTGCCATGGTATTGTTATTTGTGTTATAGTCTTCCAAATTAAGTTATATAACTGGCCTTTGTATATTTAGTATTCGATAAAAGTAAATAGAATAATTGTAAAATTACAATATTGCCAGAAATGTGTTGTTTATCTGACTGACTTCCTATATTGTCACTGAAAGTTGTAATATTATAGTTTTGACTAGCCAAAAAAAATAAAAAAATAAAAAAGAACAGTGGTATAGTTGTGCTTTCATATAGGAATCATTAATGAGCTTATAGTTTTCTCTAAGTACTTGTTAAAGACTTAGGAAAATATTTTGACTATTTACCCAGCAAATAGCAATTATTTTTTTTTAAATATTTCATTCAATTATTAGTTTTCAAAATCATCCACAGCAGAATTTAATAAATATAATTTTTCTTCGTATCTTATACTTTTATTTTTTCTTTACAGGTCTCAATATTGAAAATCACAGAGCAAATTCCATGTCATTCAAAGAATATTATACTTAACGATAAGTGGAAATTTTCAAACTAGTCATGCATGGGCTGTTAATCAGATAGTCTTAAAAATTATTGTTAACATGTTCACATAATTTGATATATTTATAAAGATATGCTGAAATTGACTCATAGTTTTTGCAGATACTTGATGCCCGCATGTGAGAATATCAAATATAACATAACACATGTGAAAAAGTTCTCACACATAAGTTGTAGAAGAAAGACATGCAGTTTTGTCTCCAGTCAAAGTTCATCACTCGTACCATTCACTCCCATCAATCAACAGTGGAGACTGCTAGCTAATATAAAGAAGAGGCTACGAAATAAGAAGCCATACGCTAATGCAAATGTAGGAAAGACAGTCAAGCCAATGAGTGAATCATTTCAGCCAACTCTAAATCATGTCAGTTATGGCGGGCACTTTGAGATGTAAGCACCATAATTAATAATGCAAATATTTATCTTAATTTTTAAACTTATAAGTAATATTCATTCATATTGTTATTAGTGCTTCAGATGATGATAGTGATGGTTGGATTCAATTTGATGAATCAGGATCAACAGAAAGTGATAACATAAAGAAATGTGAAGTTCCCTCAGATTTCAGAGTATGGGAGCCAGTGAACAAAAGAAATGACACATGTGATGGTATGATCTTTTATATTTTTATTATGAAGAAAACAGTTCATTGCTATTGGTAAAGATTCATTTGTTGTTTTAAAATATTGAATGTGGTCCAAATTTGTCTTTATCTGTATTATAAATTTTGTTAATTGTATTTCCAATAGACAATTTAAAAATCTAAATTATTTATAAGTTTCCTGCGAGAATTTCTTCTTTGTGTAGTAATTGTTTTAGTTATCAGTTGCTTTGTGTAATATTATTGTTTTACCATATTCTTTTTTGATTAAAATTACTGTTGTAGTTCTAAAAAGATTACATCATTTACCGTGAAAATATAATTGCAATAAAAACTGATGTGATAATCAGAAACTTTAGATTTTATAGTTTACTTGGCTACAATTATACTCATAATTAAAATTGTTAACAATTAATATATATGTTGTAAATTTAGTTGTATTTAAAATACTTAAGGTATATTTGAACTCTCTTAATCATATGAATTGTAAAAGTTGTCTTTTATTAAAGTGATTTATTATTTTCTTGGGTCCTTGTTCTTTTAGGAAAGAGTTTTAAGTTTAAAATAGTATCATACAATGTTTTGGCACAATATCTACTAGAGTGCCATCCCTACCTATACACACAGTGCTCACCAAGAGATCTTAAATGGAAAGTTCGGGCAGCACGTTTATATGATGAAATTGTTAATCTTCAACCTGATGTAAGTTACATAGTTACTAAAGTTTCCTTTTTTGTTGAATTTATTACAATAATATACATGTTAGTTATATTATTTCATTTTATTAGTGCATATTTTTTAATAATATTAATGATCTTTATTGAATATTGCTGTGTTATCACTTTTTCAACTTACTTAACTGTTTGGATTAAAAAATTCATAAAGAGTCTTATACAAATATAGTGATTTTGATTTTAGTGAATTCATAGGTGTGTGGTTATTATAATAAACTACATCAATTTTGTAGATTTTGTGTCTTCAAGAAGTACAAGCATCACACTTGAAAAGTTTCTATTCGAAATTTGAAGATATTGGCTACTGTGGTGTATTTAAGCAGAAAACTGGGCATAGGCAGGATGGCTGTGCAATTTACTTCAAACGTTCCATGTTCCACATGGAAGACCAGATTAGTGTATGTCTCACTTTCCTATTTTATTTCTAAGCCATGAAAACATTGAATTCTAGCGAATAACAATAATAATATCCTTCAGACCGAATTTCGGCCACGGCAGTCAGTCCCAACATGAGACTAGGCATCTGCACAGGACAAGATTATAGTGCCAGAGTATATGTGCATGAACAGGTGCACTTTCAATTCCTTCACTCTCATAATCCAATGGGATGGCAATCCGACACAACTGAAGGGAGATTAGGCGCAGGACCAACGGTAGACGTGTTGTCCGGGACACGGGGTGAAACACCGCCAACTTTCTGACTTCGTGCTGCTACTGAGTTTTTCAAAATTGACAGAAAAACCTATGATTAGCAATGACGTTTCCGACACTACACTACACTAGCTAGAGTAGCCAGTCAAAGCTACTCTAGCGACTAGCGAATAAATTACTCCACTGAGATATTACAAAGAAACAAATTGCATGTAAATATTGGTCTTTATCAATGTAATAAATTTCCAATACAATGTAATATTGTCCTATGGAATAAATAACTATGACTATATGACTACTAACAAAGTCTCTTTATGGTAGTCTGGATACCATGTGGCGGTGTAAGAATATCCACTACCCCCTATACTCTCATTGGTGTCGTAAGAGGGAATCAAATAACAGCAGCGTCTCCCTAATAACGACTAAAAATAAAAAACTGCAGATGCCAACCCACTTGCCAAGCGTGGCAATTATTGCAAAGATCCCTCCTGTAATACATTCTATGAGGGAGGCCTATGTTCAGTGATGGACTTTAATAGAATGTAACGGTAAAGTCTATCTAGTGCTGTAATTTTGTTATCTCAAAATGACAACCCATTCAATTGTAAGAGTTGACTATTTAATAGAACCCCCATGATAGTATCTGTTCGTGCTATCGTCCTCCAGTGTGTCATCACTTATCAGCCCACAAACCGTCTACTGTTGGACAGTATCCCCCATAGTACTTACTTAGTGTTTTCCATCCATCGATTACATCCTATAAAAGTCACTGCTGAACATAGGCCATAGATTGACTCGTGGGGGATTTAGCCACTTAGTTTTTTTATCCAACTAAATTCTGGTATAAAATAAAACACCTAAAATAAATAACATTTTAAGCTCTTATTAAATATCATCATGTTAAACATAAGCTAAGTTATAAATTCAATATTAAACGTAAAAAAATCTGTACGTTATCGTACAATAAATATTTCTATAGCCTTGGAACTTATTCAATCTCAACTACTTTGTACTGAACTTGTCCCCTATTCACATTCATGTTTTTGCTAGGTAATTAAAGTTTTAGTCTTTTATCAATAATACATTGCGCACTAAGTTAGGGTAAATTCTCCTTAGCTTCATCCGACTGCGAGCCGGCGAGTAGACTAACTAGTTCTTTCGTTTTGTAAAATGCGAACATTGTTTACGCTAATCTAACACTGATTTTGTTTAATTTGACTAACAAAACGCTGTCATTGTTTATGTAAGCACTGTCGACGCGATTTGAAGTTCATTTCTGATAACAATGTAACTCCATTTCGTATTTTTCTAAAAACAGTAACTGTTGAAAAACAAAATACAACTGCATGGCATATATACCGTGCCTGTTGCCCGCCTAGCTTTTTATGCCGACTTCAAAAACGCGACGGTATTCAATTCGACTGTATGTTTTTTTATGTGCTACCTCATAACTTTTTACTGGGTTTAACCGATTTCGATAATTCTTTTTTTAATTGAAAGCTGGTACTTCACATGTGGTCCCAAATGCATTTGATCAAGGTCAGACCAATAGTTGAGTTATTCTTAATAATTTATATTGAAGTCGGCTGTAAGGCCGGTCCAGTAGGATACATAGAAGTCTCTGCCTTTTAATAATTTAAATAATCAATCATATGACCTTCAATGTTTTCAGGGTTCTGTACCTCAAAAGGAAAAAACGGAACCCTTATAGGATCACTTTGTTGTCCGTCTGTCTGTCTGTCTGTCAAGACCCTTTTTCTCAGGAACGCATGAAGGTATCAAGCTGAAATTATAAAATATCAAATACTCAAGTCTACTGTCCCTTCAAGTTGTGAAAAAATCAAACTTCTTAGCCAACGCAATCAAAAGATACAGCCATTTATGCCGCAAATATTCGACATTCGCAAGGGAATCAAAACCTACAGGGTACTTCCCGTGAACTCAGAATCTTAAAATTTGGTACGAAGCAACGTATTATAGCACAGATAAAGGAAAAATTGCGAAAAGCATAAATTTTTAGTTACATCATATAATAAAAATATTTTTAATAATTTGAAACTTATATATCTACGGAATTGTTCGGAACCCTCGCTGCGCGAGTCTGACTCGCACTTGGCCGGTTTTTTTATTGTGTTTATGCTTCACTGTTTTCTTTATTAAATAAAGGATTATATGTGGATCAAGTTATTGGTGCAATTAGTCAAGTACTGTACTTAAAACTAACTGTACCAACAACTTTTCCGGATACTTTAATATTACGGATTCGATTATTTCCGGATTCAATCATTTGTATTTTTAATTTTTTCCTTTGTATACACCTAATAAAGTACCTTGATACAAAATTTAAAGTTTCTAAGTCACTTAGAAGTGGTCTAGGTGTTTTAGTGAGTGATAAAAATAGCACTTTTCGTACCTTATTAACTCAAGAATGGTAATAGGTTTATTCATAAACTTTTAAAATTCTTAGGTGTCAGACACTGCAGTGTGTCTGGATACAAATTCTACAAGTGGTATAATTAAAAAATTTGTACAACCGACTTCAATATAAGTAAAATGAAAACATCATCAATGTAGTCGAAGTCAATTAAATACACATTATTAAGCATAACTCAAAAACTACTCGTCAGATCTTGATTAAATCTCTATGGGACCATATGAGAAGCACCAGATTTGAAATAAAAAAATCGAAATCATCAAAATCGATTTACCAAGAAAATAGTTCTGAGGTAACACACATAAAAAATACAGGCGAATCGAATTCCTCCTCCTCTTTTTGATGTCGGTTAAAAATAAAATAGTATACACTGGGTGTTAGGACTCATTTTTTGTCTAATTTGGTGGATTCCATCTGGATAGGTACTTTCTTATCAATTTCGGTCACTAAAAAAGTTAACATTCAGTGTCTTCTTTCGTTATACCGCAAAATACCAAATTTTGAAAATCGCTAAAAATATGCAAGGGTTGTCACAAAAATATTTCCTTAAATAATAATATCATAACATTATATTTTATCAGTATTTCTCGTGATAATTTATTTTTCTATACAAAGACACAAACAAATTACTACTTTCCAAAACTAGTTGCATTCCGTAGCTTTACGTGATTCGTCGTGATGGAAACAAAGGCTTGTGCTGGTAGGTACCTACCTAATTTTACTATATTTCGCCTATATAGCAGTATGTCAGGTATTCCGCTTAAAATATTGGATAGGGGTTGAACACAATAAACAAAACATGTTAAAATTATACATTAGTTTTGTTTATTCAAACGCCTCGTTACAGATGTGCAACCGACAAATATTTACATCTATTATTGTTTTTTTTTAAATTGTCTTTTGTTGAATTTAAAGATATAATGAATTCTTATCCTTACATATAATTCAATTAAAAATAGAGATGGAAAGCAATCACATGGTAGTACCACGACCTCACAGAAAACCAGCGTGAAGTAGAGGTTTACCTCTGCGTTTCGCTTGGTGAGTGCAGGTGGCCGGAGGCCCTTTTTACTGGAAATGAGGCATTCCATCTTAGTCCTCACGGGTGACAACGCATCTACATTTTGATTTGTAACAGAGGATAGATGTAGATGTCTATGGGCCGCAGCAACCACTTACCATCAGGTGGACTGTGTGCTCGTTTGTCACCCTTATTCTATAAAAATATTAGAATTCAATTTTACTTAAAGCGTCAAACAATGAGTGAAACTACCCCACTCTTTTAGTATGTAAAGAAATAATTATAATTAAAAATGGTACCATTTTTGCCACGTTTCAAGTCGTAAGATAGTACATATATAAAGTTTCAAATGTCTAACTTATTGGGATGCTAGTTTAAAATCGATTGCTAAATTTGTACCGAACAGACAAACAAACAAAGAAACGGACCGAAAAGAAAATTTGTAACGAACAAACAAACAAGCTACCTAGTTAATAAAAACCTAGTAAAACAAATATAGAACCACAAGTAAGTACTATTATATATTCTGTCCAAAAAAGTCACGAGTTCATATCCACCATTTGACGGCTACTATGGACAACTTCTAAGAGCCAAGGATTGATAGTCACATATTACCATGAAAGGACGCAGTAGTGATTATGAGGCTGCGCTCTGGACACATTCCATCCAAGAAGTTTGCTTTTCTCATGAATAAAGTCTTGGTGGAGTGCATGTCTTGATGGAGTGTGCCCGCCCTTCGAATGTAACACTGCTGATAGTAACATTATTTTATCCAACCCTTATTCCGATGAAACAAAATTATCGGTTAAATTATATAACATAGGTAATATTCTCCTCAGATCAGTCAACTAGATAGTATTTTTTTTCAATTGAATGTTATTTAGTTCATTTAATAATACCAATAATATTATTAATACTTTACATTTGACAGCAATTTAAAAACATACATAGATTGAAACAATTGTTCTGCATGTTATGTAAAGTAGCGTTGACGTCACTTCATTAATAGGAAACCCTTCGGCGATTGAGGGTTGCGCAAGTTGGAAGTGAGTCAAGGTGATGTGTGGTGACGTGTGTGCCTAAATCCTTACTTGGCGTATGCGCCCCGACCAGTCGCTCTTGAAACACCGATTACCCAAATTGATAATGTTACATTGTATGTGCTCCACTTCCTGAGGTACTAGACGCGTCGCTTAAGCTCGCTACGAAATTAATTTATTGATAAATATTTTAGGCATTCAATATACATACGTCAATCTCTACTTTTTTTTTTAAAGAATAAGGGTGACAAA